CCCTCCCGTTTACCCCCCCCCGCACCGGGCCTCTCTCCTCGGCCTGTTTCCCTGAGGCGAGCTCGAAGGTCAGGCTCAGCCGGGCAGTGCCTCCGGGAGCTGGTGACTGAGCAGAGCTTGAGGGGGAGGGTTTATCGGTTTGGGGGGCCCTAACACCGTTAGGGTGTTATGTCCGGGGATGGTTTGGGGTCGTTTGCCCTGCTTTGTTGAGGGGTTGTGTGGTAGGCGGGGAGGAGGGCTCTGGTGAGTTCCCCTTCTCAGGGGGAGAGGGAGTGAGAAGCTCCTGAAAGGTACTGGCCTCAAGCCCTACTTGTGTCTGTAGGAAGCTGCGTTTGATGTGATGAAGCTGTATGTGTTTTGCCACGAGTAAACAAAGTGCGGGTGTCCGTTCCTGGGGGGTTATGTAGGCGCATAAGCGTGCGTGCCTCTGTAGGAATGCAGAAGCAGTGTGATGGTGTCCCCAGGAACTGGAAAAGATGTGTGTGTATATGTCCGTGGTTGGTGTGTTGTTCACCCGGGAATCAGTTCTTCCAGAAAATCCAGCCCACTCATGAACAAGGATGTTGTACAGAAGGTGTTTGTAAACTTCTTCCTTTTTATCAGAAATGAAGGAAAGCTTGGTGATTGAAGACCAGCCTTGTTTTTCATTTAGTGCTAGCGATTACCATAAGAGTGAACTGAAACTGGGCAAAAGGTTAGCTCAAGACTATAAACATTCAACAAACCTTTCTGCTTTCACTGCAAGCTAAAGCTTGCTGAGCAAGAAATTAATTCTTTTTGGTGGCTTTATCTGGGTCATTGTAAATTGCTTCAAGCAGCCTCAAAGTGAGGTGGCTAAATTGATTATTGGGTAGGGGGAGGGTAGTGTGAATTAATAATCTTATAGTACCTTTATTTTCTGTAATAATATCTTATTTCTGTTTCTGTTTTTAACTGTTAAGAGAGTCAAAGTCTATGATGGAAAAATCAAACAGTGTAAAGATAGAAATATTATTCTTTGCTGTGGAAACCTGTACGTTTTGCCGAGAAGTTGTTCCCCACCTTATATGGAAATTGTATAGCAAGCATGCTTCACATTGCTTCTTTCTGCACTGCTTTCAGTTGAATAGCAATTCAAACTTGACTTCTCATCTTCTATTTTTTTTTCTGTGAATTCAATAGACTACAGAAGTGGGAACTCATGGCATAAGGCAGTAAGCATGTGAAATGAGCAAAATGTTTAACTTTTAGGATGATGATGTGTGATTAACCTTTTAATCAAGCATCAGAGGTTGGACAGCTGCTTGATAGAATTCAAATACCAGTCTAGTATTTGCAGACCCTTCTTACAAAGGGCATAGATAAACCTACTTAAACTTACAGGCATACAAAGGAAGAAAAGTTTACTAAATTAAAAACAAATCATTGACTCATAATACTGCTTTCAGCCAACAGTTAACAGTAACAGATTCAATCCCTTGACATGCTACATAGAGGTAACTAGATAGTTTGGGTAGAGGGGGAAATTGGGGGACCTAAAGCCCTTGCCTGTGTTGTATAATTACATGGATTCTCGATTAGGTCACACCACCCTTTTTTCAAAGGGTGGATCCAAAGGAGCCTCAAGCTTCCTTCCTGCTCTATCATTGGCTCATTGTATAGAAGAGTTGAGAAAAAGTATTGGAAAGAAAGCTTTCATATTGTAAAGTTCATAAATATTATTGGTAATGCATATGAGAGGCTTTTGTGTGCAGAAAAAAGACCCGGGTTTTATGGCAACAGATTTGGTGGATCTAGATGTAGCATTTCATGCTTTCTTTGTCGATACAGTAGACTGAAAGTCTCATTATGGGTTTTTGTGGGATTTTTTTGGTTTTGGGTTGGATTGGGTTTGGTTTGTTTTCCAGAAGACCTATATTTCCTGACTAGAATCTTTACTTCCCACAAAGGTTGTGCAACATACTGAGTGTTTGTCTACAAGGTTCCCTCTCCTAGCACTACTGAAACACCTTGTCATATTTATATAGTTAGCCAAGAACTCTGGGGAATTGAAAATATAAACTTACTTTGAGTACTGATCTTGCTTGTCTGAATTTGTTTAGGTCTGCTGACTTGGGCGACAACCTGCTGACCAGGCCTGGACAACCCACAGTTGCACGAATACCGCCACCTATTTTGCCAAGACCATCACAGCAAACAGGAAGCAGTAGTTTGAGCACTTTCAGGCCAGCATATACTAGTTCTTTTTCTCCAGGCTATGGTTCATATGGAACCTCTTTTTATGGAAGCTATAGTCCTTACAGTTACGGATATGGTGGTTTGGGTTATAACCGCTTTCGTACAGATGATATTCCTCCCAGCAGGTTTGTTCAGCAGGCTGAAGAGAGCAGCAGAGGTGCATTTCAGTCCATTGAAAGTATCGTGCATGCGTTTGCTTCGGTCAGCATGATGATGGATGCTACCTTTTCAGCTGTGTACAACAGTTTCAGAGCTGTTTTGGATGTAGCCAACCACTTCTCCCGTCTCAAAGTACACTTCACAAAGGTGTTTTCAGCTTTTGCTTTAGTGAGAACTATAAGATATCTCTACCAACGTCTACAGCGATTACTAGGTCTGCGGAAGAGCTCTGAGAATGAGGATTTGTGGGCTGAAAGTGAGGGGACAGTAGCTCGCGTTGGCCTTGAAGACAAGGCGGCTAACTCCGCAAAATCCTGGCCCATTTTCTTGTTCTTTGCGGTTATAATGGGAGGTCCTTATCTGATTTGGAAACTGCTTTCTGCATACAGTGATGAAGAAACAGGTAAAGATGATCTGCAGCACAAGAGAAGTGACACATATATTGTTCCTTTTGTTATCACTTGTATAGCGATTAATCTTATACTACAGTAATAGAACTTAATAGATACTGGGGTGCAAAACTAAATTTTAGGCATGTGATACAAGTAACAGCCTGTTTAAGTAGCCTGTTGTTGAGTTAGGATGCAGTTTCATGGTAAGCTTTGTGTGATTCCAGAATCATGGTTCCTTTCTATTTCCTTTTTATTAGTTGGGACAGGAGGAAAAGTATTGGTTGGATTGACTCAATACGTCATGCTTTGTTTTGTTACTCCAGTCAGTTCTTTATTGGACAAGTTGCAGCAACGAAGTTGAAGTGGTGTTTTTTCATTTTTCTTTAAAAAAAAAAAAAACAAAACAAAAAACCACAACATTATAATTCAAAGCAGATAAACTTTTAATTTCTTTCTGGTAACAGTATCTAGTAACTGGGCAAGTGGAGAAGATGATCATGTAGTTGGAAGAGCAGAATATGATTTCAGTGCTCTCTCAGAAGAAGAAATTTCTTTCCGTGCTGGTGACATGCTAAAATTAGCACCCAAAGGTAAAATTTTAAATTAGTATTTATTTTGTAAATACATGTTAAGTAAGTCATATTGTTAGTCTGAAAATGAATATATAAAAACCCTACCCTTGTTGACCAAACTCCTCATCCACACTGATTTTTTTTCTCTCTAAGTTATTACTTGCAGTGTAATAAAACTTACCGAGCACTTTTGTTCAGTTTTCCTCAGACATGATACAGCCTAAACTTACTTAGAGAATGCTTTGTGGCTACTCTTGTGGTTACCTTTTCCTCACATGTGCTGCACAACTGTAAAGATCCTTAGGCATTTGCAGTGCAGTGGCGATTGATTTCAGAACAACTTGCGCTTCGCAGTACTCTTCAGCTCACCTGACCAGTGCAGATCCTAGTAATTTCTTTTGTGAAGTAATTTGTATTTGCCTTTTATCACAGTTGTTTTCTCTGCCTGATGAGCTGTTGTGTTGCCTACCTTCTGGTGTATTTGTGCCTCAACCACAGTGTATTTTGAATTGTTTTGTAACTTGATACGTTTGCAATTTCTTCTTCAGAACAACAACCCAGAATTCGTGGTTGGCTTTTGGCTAGTTATGATGGCCAAACAACAGGACTTGTGCCAGCTAATTACATCAAAATCCTGGGCAAAAGAAGAGGTAGGAAAACAGTGGACCTGGAAAGAATTACAGAGCAACGGCCAGCCTTTACCAGCACATCTGTTAGAGGACCCACTGCTGCTGTGACTTTGGAGGAGCAGGAAGCTGCTTTTGATTCTGTTTTTGCTGGAAGTAATAAAGCTCCTGTTGCATCTGACTCCACTATCGTTAGTGGAGAGAAACAGGAACTCTAATGCACTTTCATCAACAAAGCAACTGAACTGTGCTTTATTAATAAAACTTAGGGTTTTGTTGAAAATCTGTATTGTAGTGGAACATTAATGGGTTTTTACCAGTTATTGCTGCTACTGACTGGTGAAGGGATGGGGATAATGATTCCTCAAATTCGTAGTATTTATTTTTGACTCACCTAAGGCTGTATATTAGTAATTCTACCCAACCACCTGGCAGCAACTCGGAGATCTTGAAATGAGGAGAATTGAGGCATTTATAACAAAGTAAACAAAAAAAGAAATAGGGACTGCCAGCCTATTCTTGTTAAGAAGGCAAACTGTTCTTGAAATCTGGAGATTAACATCCAATTTTCATTGGAATGTCGGCTTGATAAGAGGCCTCTTCAATAGATGTGCAAAGGGAAGATAGATTTCTGTAATGTGTCCTCCAAAACTGGATAGTAAGGACCATAAAATCATAATAGTGCATTGTTTCCCCCTGAAAGGAGGGAGAATTGCAAGAGCTTTTTGTGACATAATGAAATCATTAGAAGTCACTTGCTTTTTGTAAGAAATAGGGCTTCTGTCACAACGACCTGAACTCTTACAAAAAAGAGACTAGTGAGAAACGGGAGAGAATTACAGTTAAAAAGGAAGAGCAGCAAGGCTTCAGCAGTAGTTCTAACCTGTTCTCTTTTGTTTATTAAAATAACATGAGATTAAAAGGTATCCTGCAGTCAGGCACTCTTCAGTGCACTTATTCCCTTCTGTGGTAAACTAGCTTTGCATCACTCCAGCGATTTTCTGTTGTAGCCTGTTAACTGCCTATCGGTAGTCTTCTAAACTACCATCTGCATCTCAACTTATTTCTGTTCTTTATTGTTTTTATATGAATGTCATAATAGCTATCCTGCCTCTTAGTGCAGTTGAAAGTATTTGGTCAAGGAAAGTTTAATGTAATTTGAGTGGCAAAGAAAAAGTAACATCTCCTTCTCTGGAGACATTCAGAACCCACCTGGACATGTATCTGTGTTATCTTCTCTAGGTGATCCCACTTTATCAGGGGGCCGGACTAGATGATCTTCAGAGGTCCCTTCCAACCCCTACCATTCTGTGATATTGTGATTTCTTTCTTAACTTGTCTCAGTTAGCTAAGGTCTTGGAATTAGCTCTTTATGCTGCCTTTCAGGTGGTAAATTTTGCATCTGCCCATAAAATTTGAGTGCTCTGGATTATCAAAAGCCATAAAAGCATTAAGACAGTTGAAAGTATTTTTTATTTTCTTGACATTGGTGTTTGAGAATTCTGTATTGAAATACTGTTTATTTTTTTTATGAAGCAAAGATAATTAAAACTTTTTTCTTTGTATTATATATGTATAACATGTTGAGCTTCTGAAGGCTAGCACAATAGGTAAAATAACTAAAGCTTGTCTGAATCATTGAAATAGTTTATCTCTTTATTTTAAAGGTACTCAAAAGTATTAATGAAAGTAGGGCATGTGCCTTTGCTTAATTGATCCAGTAGTTTGACTGTTTTGCAGATACCTTCAACATGCACTATGTGTTTGCAATGCTTTCAGTATTTATACTTTTAATTGCGGTTACTGGCCTTGAGCTCTTAGAATTCTGTTCACCACAACAAAACTCTGTCAGGAAAAATTGAAGTGAGTACAGTTTTATTGAGGTAGAGTGATTGGAAAGACTAATATGCTGGAACCTTGGATTTTAAAGTAATCTCTGAATGTCTGTTAATAATTAGAGCAAGAATTTAAGTGATTGTGCTCAGATATTGGGAGATGGTGGAAACAACCGTTTTTACTAGAATGAATGCTTGACCTTCGAGGGCAGAGGAAAAGGAAAGAGTAGTTAAAGGGCAAATGAGAAACCTGAAACTAGGTTTACTAGGTTTAAAACAACAGATTCCTGAGACATTTCCCTGTGCACCAGGGCATTGAAGAAAATTACCTATATTTGGAAATTACATCTGTTATTGAAATAAAAATAGTAAACAATCCTGAAGTATAAAATACATAGAGAAAAAACAGAGGGGGAGGTATCAAGTGTACAGTTCTGCTTACAGTGTATATTTATGGAGGGAATTAATTTACTGTTGCGAGATTTAATTAATGGACTGTCAGCCTCTCTTGTATCAGTGAAAGATTTCAATCAGAGGAAGGGTGTGTTGAATAAATGAATAAATAAACCCCAAACATTTCTGTAGAGTATCCATTCAAGTAGACTTCTGTTTTCTTGCTCAGAACAAGTTGGGAAGACAGTACCATGACATTTGTTAGTATCTTTAAATCTTACTAACTTTCAGAAAGGTGAGTTTAATTTAACTTTCAGGTCATACTACTTCGAAAACAATTCTTTTAGTAGAAAGATGGGTTATTAATAACTTAACTGACTTGGTTTTATAGTAGTTTGGCTTAGTCTACCAACCGCTGTCATAACTGTATCTGCTAAATCTTGACAGGAATTTTGATCCTTTCAATCTTGTGATTACTTTAATGGGAAAAGAAGGCTCTGAGGAAATTGAGTCGTTCATTTAACTCAATTAATTACACTGATTGCAGAAGGGAATTAAAATTCATTGGAGTAAAATATATACTGTGCTTTAAGATTTTTTTTTTGGGTGCACAAACTAGCATCATGGAAAAAATGTGAGTCCTCAAAGTTCATTGTCTATGTTTCTGCCCATATGTCAGGCTACAGAAAAAGCCTCTAAATGAATGCTGATTAAGAAAGGGAGGCAGGCTGACAGGCTGCTCCAGACTTGCACAACATTAGAAAGGTGAGAAGAATAAAAGCAGCCAGTGTGACTGCAACAGGAGTATGTAGAAGGGGAGACTGGAAAGGAGATGCTGTTGAAATATTGCTAAACTTATGCATTAGGCTCTTATTTTAAGATCTATACATACTAAGTTACCTTTTTGTCATTCTTTGGGACTACTTACACCTATAGCATATATAGAAGTCTATAACAGACCCATGATATTTGTTTATATAAGGCTTTAGTTTAATCTTACTGTTTAGTTTACCAGCCATTTTATGCTTGAATACTGTCTAAACTAATGACAGATGCCAGTTTTGCCTGGTTCTCTGGGTGCTAGCAGTATGTGACCATGCACGTTTCTGAACAATAAATTAAAAATATTCTTTTTGTCTAGTAGAACTTAATAAAATTGTCTGCTTATTTTGCACAGGTTTCAAACCTTGTCCTTCCATGGTACTAGACTGCAACTGAGCTAGTAAGATTATTTTGACTTATTTGGTGATCTTGGTGAAATTTGCTAGTCAGATAAATAGAAAGAATATACAGTTTCTTATAAATCTGATCTGTTTGCAATGAAAATTTTCCAGAAGAGGCACAAACTCGGAAACCAGTGCAGTGATTTTCTTGATGGATCATAGCCATTGTAGAACACTTGTCTGTAACAGTAGTGGAACTGCACTTAATTTACAAAACATACATAACACAAAAGCATATGTTTTAAAGTAGCTCCTTCCAGGTTTTTTTTATCAAGGGAGGTGTGGCTGTTTGTTGGAACTGGCCAGTGGTTTTGGCCTGCAATGGCGGGTAGTAATTGTGTGTGTCCACGGGTAGTAATATACTTCCTTTTTTTTTAACCCTTGCATCCTGGGACCAGTTCTACAGACAGATTTGGGGCCGGTTTTAGGTAATAATCTGTCACCTGTATTCCATGGGCATACCCAACCCCATATTTAAGCAGCTGGATAATCTCTCCTTGCAATAAATGTGTAACTGGTTTAACTGGTAACTGATGTCAATGCGAGGCACTTCCTTATCTGCAGTTTTTAATACTACTTTGAGATACTAAAGTTCCCTAAATTTCACGGTAGTCACAGAACTGTAAGGCTTGAGCAAATGGCGTGGTTCATTTATAGAATCATAGAATGGTTTCGGTTGGAAAAGACTAATATATGCTGTCAAAGTTGCTCCTTACAGGGTTTTTTTTGGTTTTAGAAATGAAAATGCTTTAAATGCAAAGAGCTAGTTCCACTGTGTTTATATTATTCAGTTACTACTGAACATTGTCTCTACACTATCAAATGAGTAAAATTTGAGATATTGAGGGCTTTTTTATCCTCAGATACTGATATTGGGGGCTTTTCTCTATTAAAAAAGAGAAGAACTGAACTGCTGAATAGCACAGGTTAATTCAAAAACTGTATTGCCAGTTCTCTGACACACCATCAGGCCTGCATTTATAGTGTAATAAAGTAATGTCATAATAAGATAGCAATATTACAGCATTACCTTATTCTGTGGATTGCTGTGGGACGGTATGAGATCTGGAGTGTTTTCTACTTTAACTGAAACCCAAGGGAAATTTTCATACTGTTTTAAGAATTCAGAGTTCAAATACTTTTCTAGGTTGGTGCAACCCATTTTTCCAACTTTTCTGTGGGTTGTTTGGTTTCAGTTTTTGGGTGGTTTTTTTGTTTGTTTGGTTTGGTTTTTTTTCATTCTGTGGCCTTACTGTATTACTCTAGATTTTAGGCATAGGTGTTTTGAAGAAAAAGGTTAATATCCATGTGGCCTCAATTCTCTTAGCGGTTCCTGCCAAAATGCCACAAGAGGAACTCAAGTTCCATTGCATGATACGGTGGTTTTTAGACAGAGGCAGGCAAAACAGTGGGATTGAGGGAGTAGTATTATATGTTGCACTTGGGAAAAGGGGATCTGGGCTGATCCTTAGCAGCCATGGACTGTTGCCCAAGGGAAGTAACTTTGAAACATTTGGGAATGTTTGTTCAAAGAAACAGGAGGTAGGGAACAAACCAACAATGGACGAAATAGCAGGATTGGGACTGTCTGAATGTTCACAGGTTCACCTAGAAGAGCATGGAATGTGTAATTAGCTCTAAGATAGATGTTCTGTTACTGCTTTTGTAGTTACACGTGTATCGAGTATTTAATCAGCTCAAAATCTGGGAAAAGCTTAAATTATGGTACTTCTCTTTGGTCAGCATCTTTTTGTGGGTAGAATGTAATTTTTAGTACAGTGCTTTAACACCGATTCCTGCCTAATTAATTTGCTGGGCTCATACTGTAAGGTGAATTCTTGTGTCTGCTGCACTGACAGGTGGTGAATGAAGTTCTTACAGTCTCTCACTGCCTAGATCTTTCCTTCATGGAAATGTTTTTGCATGTGGGAGCAGGATAATGATCCTGAGATCTGGGAGTTTTTTACATAAAAAACGGTGTTGTAGTTACTCCTGTGGGATGCTGGGGTGCTGCTCAAAAAGCCTGGGCTGGGCTGGGGCGGGGGGTGCAGGCAGCCGAGGCACAGAGTCGCGTGGAGTGAAGG